GCCTCGCCTTGCGCAACGCCGCGGTGCTGGGCGAAGTCGCCGGACCGCCCTCTCATTCTTCCCGTGGCTTGGCGCAAAATGCAACCACCTCGTGGCGACGCCAGTGCTGAAATACACGCATTCATGTGTGTGTGGTATATTCCGGGGAAGCTGAGCGCCCCACAGCACCGCTGATGCGGCCCACGCACCCGCTGCGGAATATCGCCGCGTGGGGACCCGGACTGCAGGCGACCCCGCAGCGCAACTAGACTCTGCAGCACCGCCCGTTGCCGGCCAAAAACGAGGGGCCGCGGGCGGGCCTTTTTCGAGGCGGCGCCGCGGTTGGAAGGCCCGGGGGCAAACGCAAAGTGGACCTCCCACAGAACAGCTGCACGCGCCGACGCGCAGGTGACATCAACGGCCCTGCGGCGACTTCATTGCAACAGGGCGAACCCCCCCCCCCCACCACCACCACCACCAACAGAAGGACGCCGCAACGGCAAAAAAAAAAAGGCCCGCCGACGCTTGAAGAAGAGAAGTAAAATAATAATAAGACCCGCACGCGCGCGGCGCGAAAGAGAGGCGGAGACGAGGCAACGCAGGGAGGAGAAGAGTTGCGGGGGCGGCGGTGCGAGCAACAGCGGCGGACTCCCACCCACCACCCACCGGCCCACGCACGCACGCACGCGGCACTGCGGGGCCGCGGCAACGGCTCCACACTCACCAACAACACACACACGCACTGAGAAAACCAAAAAAATAAAAAATAAAAACCGAGGTGTAGATCATCGCCAAAGGCGCCGCACCGAATTGGCTGCAAATTCCTAAACCGAAACAACAAAATACAAAAAAAAACCGAGGAGCGACAAACAGAGTGACGCACAACCACAATAGTAAAAGCAACAAATTCACCAGCCCACCCTCCCTCAAGACAAAAATCAATGCATTGGCCCCAGCCGCTCCATATACTCGTCACGCTCACGTCTGGCTCGAAGAAGAGCACCGCGTAAGTACGTTGCCGGATCCAATTCCGCCTCAACTTCCTCGGCAGAAATCAGCATGCCGTTCAAGGCACCAATTAACTCCAACGGCCGCGCGTCGTACTGCGCCCACAGCGTCTTGTACTGGCACTGCGCCAGCAGCCCGTCCACCTCGCCCTCGCTCAGCCGTGACGAGTGGCGCACCGTGACAAACACAACGAGGTTCTGCGGCACAACGTCCAGCTCCACCTCCACCACGTCCTCGCGCTCCACTCCAAGCGCCCGCGCCGTCTCGATCGCCGCCGCCTCCCTCACCTCCACGCCCCGCTGCTCCAGCACGTAGTCCCAGTCCTCGCCCTCAAAGCCCAGCTCGTGCGTGGTCACTACCTTCTCCTCCTCGAGGCGGGGCCGCGGCTCGTACAGCGCCCACAGCGCCGCGTACGCGCACCCCCGCAGCCGCGCATCCACAGCGGCCTCCGCCAGCGATGCCGGGTGGTTCAGCTCAAAGTCGACAAGCAGGCCATCATCCCCGGGCCTCAGCACCACACTCCGCACCCGGCCCTCCTCCACCCCAACCGCCGCGGCCGTCTC